AAAACCAAGAATTCTTGTTTTTACATATTTTAATTTAATTTATTTTTCATTTTACATACCACCCCCAGTTCCCCCCTCCCCCTTCTTCCAAACTTCACATCCCCCATCCCACCTCCAACCACTGAACACCTAATAATGTTGGCTACTATTGTTATTCCTCACATTTCCTCTACTGTCAGAATTAAAACTTGCTCACTTGGGGCTGTGAATTGGGTCTCTGTGGCTAATCTTCATCCTACCTTTATTCCAGTAGTTACTAGTTAACCCATAAGGAAAGTGGGTTACAGCATACCTGATCTTAGTAAATTACACATCTTGTTCTAATTGTTTCTCTTTCTGAATCCCTTGTCTTATAATTCTGCTATTTTCAGCTATATTATCTTAGTTTCTGTAATCTTAGGGTTATTTTATATTCTTTCTAAAATTATTAATTTATTTTTTTGTTACTGGCACTGTTCTTTGCATGCATTTTGTCTTCATTTTTTTCTGTAATTCTGTAACTATGTTCCTTGTAAGTGCTTTGCATTCATACCAATATTAACACATATTTTCTCAGAGAATTTTTCTCATTTATGTCTGTGAAGTATTTGAACTCTCTGTTACTATAACAAGCACTTCAAATAACCATTTAATGAAGATTAAAAATTTACATATGACATTGAAGTTCTAGCCCATTGAAGGTCAATTGGCCTTATTACTTTTGAGACAGTGGCAGGGCATCTCCTTCTAGCAAAAGTGTGTGACAGAGCACACCTGCCTGCTTGCAGAGGAGGCTGGGCCCCAATTCTATGCGGACTTACCTCTTCAGGATCTGACCATTTTCTAGTAGGATTACTATGTAAACGCTTTGCCAAATGGGCTTTTGAGAAAATACTGTGCTCTGAAACATAGCACCAAATAACATAGTGATGTTAGGAGAAAATAGATATCCTCATTAATTTTTGAATATTTTGAATCTCTTTTTATCAAGCGAAAAGGCCTATGTGTTCATACACCAATACAAATATGTGAATAATATATGCTTATAAGTTTATGTGTTTCTTATTTTTGTATGAAAGAGTACACATGAGTAATGCACATGCTTATAGACTTATACTTGTGTGGAAGTTGTAGGGATAGAAGACAGTGTTAATAAACTTGTTATTTGGTCACTAAAATTTTTAATGGTTTTAATACTTTTATCTCTAAAATTATCAAATAAACATTCCATTACAAATATTTTTTATTTTTATAATTTCCCAAGATTTAGGTAGAATTATATTATAATGATTTACACACACACACACACACACACACACACACAAACACACATACACCTTACCTAAAATACATTGACAACACATGTGAACGTCATTCATTTATTTTTCTCCTACTTTTTCATGGATGCATTTATTCTTCTACCTAGCACACTTTTCCTTGTTCATTGGACACTATCACACCCCATCCAATAGCCAAAGCCAGAATGCTAGAGACGTTCTTGCTTCTCTTCTTCCTCTCTATTTCTTTTTTTCCCCAAGAGATTATTTTTTATTAGTTCAAATTAGAAACAAGGCTGCTTCACATGTCAATCCCTTCTCCCTCTCCCTCCCCTTTCCCAAGACCCCCACCTCATCCCCCCTCTGCTCCCCAGAGAGGGTAAGGCCCTCCATGGTGGTTCCCAAAGTGAGTCATATCATCCTGCGCAGAGCCTAGGCCCTCTCCCATGTGTCCAGGCTGAGAGAGCATTCCTCCATGTTGGATGGGCTCCCAAAGTCCCTTCTTAAGACAGGGATAAATACTGATCCACCACCAGGGACCCCATAGAGTGCCTGGGCCTCCTCATCCATGTTGAGGTGTCTGGATCAGTCCCATGATGGTCTCCCAGACATTAGTCTGGGGGCCATGCTCTTCTCCTTGTTCAAGTCATCTGTTTCTGTGGGTTTCACCAGCCTGGTCCTGACCTCTTTGCTCTTCATTCCTCCCTCTCTGCAACTGGGTTCCAGAGTTCAGTTCAGTGTTTTGCTCTGGGTGTCTGCCTCTGCTTCCATCAGCTACTGGATGAAGGCTCTAGGGTGACATATAAGGTAGTCATCAATCTCATTATCGGTGAAAGGCTTTTAAGGTAGCCTCTAGACTATTTCTTAGATTGTTAGTTGGGGTCAACCTTGTAAATCTCTGGACCTTTCCCTAGTGCCAGAATTCTCTTTAAACCTGTAATGGCTCCCTCTATGATGGTATTTCTTTTCTTGTTCTCCTTTATTCTTCCCCTGACTAGATCTTCCTGTTCTCTCATATCTTCCTCTAGCCTCCTCTTCTCCCCTTCTCTTTCCTCCCTATTTCTATGAAGTCATTTGGCTCTTGCACTCCTGTTTTCTTAGTGTGCAGATATGCATTCACATCTGGGTATGAACCTCTCATTGCATCAATAGTAGCAAGTTATCAGATTACTTCCCCCCATTATTTTTGCATCTTTTGACTCCAGCAACACTACTGTCCAAGTGACATTCAAAATGCAAATCTTTCTTCTTACATTTTTAAGACAAAGGTTGATTTCCCTTTCAGTTTTCTTCCCATCTTGTCCTGTTCCCCTTTTCAGCCTAGTCAAAGGCATTTCTGTTACAGTCTTGCCTCTCACTATTTTCTTCTTTAGAAGTATGTTTCTCTTTGCTTTGACCTCTTTCTTCATTGGGAACATAGGAAATAGTCAACTCTTTAAGTCTTCCTAGGTAAACTCTCCCTGCTCTCCATGTCAGCACAGTTGCAAAAATTTTGACCATTGCTCTCATATCTTACTTTCATAATTGTTACTTTACCTGTTATATCCCATACTAGACTGCAAGATTTACCAAGAACTCCTGGTAATTAAAACATGCTATAAATTAGGTCCTCAATTCATATGAATGAATTGAACCATCTTCAATAAGTGAAAGCTACTGTATCAAATGTTGCAGATGCAGGGAAGAAAACACAAATATTTACACAAGTAACCCTGCATGGGAGGGGAAATCTCACGGAGGAACAAATACAAGCATAGTCTCTTATAGGCAGCCTCAAACTTGTTTCATAGTCAGGTAATCTTTGGTCCCCCCTCATCTATGTTCTAGAACTACACGCACATAATGACATATCTGGTTTATGTGGGCAGGGCTTCAAGAATTATAGGCAAGTACTTCATTCACTGAGCCATGTATGTAGCCACTACCATCTTCTGTGAAAAACATTTCAAATGCAAAAAAATACTTAAAATTTTAAGTTTTAAAAGAAAATGAAATGACTAACTTAAATGAATTAAGGGGCATTAAGTTGTTAAATATATTTTTATTGTATAGATACTTATGCATTCATGACCTTTAGTAACACTATAAATTTATTCCTACAAAATTTGGAGAAGGGGTGTTTTTCATATTTGTTGGAAAGTTTAGACATTTAACAGGACAAATATTTGTACAAGAATAAGTAGTCTATTTAGCCTCATTTTTATTAAGAGTCTAGATTGTATTTTCTGAAAAAATACACCATTTATAGTATCAAATTATTATTTTATATTGAAGGAGGATGCATATGGAGTATCTAATTCAAATATGATTTGGCCATATGATAAAGATTTTTACTTTTAATTTTTGTTTTATTGGAACACTGATCATAATGATTGTCTCTTGGGGTTGGGAGTTTGCACAGGTTTCCAATCCTAACTACTTGATATGCTGAGGCAGGAGGATTACAAATTCAAATCTTTCTGGGCTCATAATGATTTCAAATCCAGCCTGGCCAAAAGTTAGAAAAAGAAAGGCTGCGGATACAGTTCAGTGACAGAATGTTTGATTCTATGGACAAGCAAGTCACATTCAATGGCATGAGTGTCTGCCTTGTATGCCCCAGGTTCATGCCCCAACACTACAAACAACAAGCACTTACCTCATGATAAGTTAATTGTTTTCACTTTCCAAACTATTACTGAGACAGCCATTGTAATTCCCACCTATACATTCATACCTTATCCCTCAATCTTCCTAATTGTTGCTGGAAATATTTAAGGATTAAGAAATGCCATGTCATTATCCTTGACCCTAATGAAACAACAGCATGAAATTTGTTTACCAATGTAGGTGATTTTCAGTCATGAAAACTGATTAAAAGCTTTTGAAATGTGTATTATTTTGAGGTTACTAAGCAAAGGATTGTAATTAAAATTGCCCTCTCATCCCTATATTTGCTGCTCATGGACAAGTACATGAATAAATCATACCATCTGTCATTGTTGTTTTTTCCCAGTTCTTTAAATAATGCTATTTTGAGAATGGGTGTCACTCTGTAGTTTAGGCTGGCCTCCAACCCAAGGTACCTTTTCTGCCTCAGGCTAGAGAGAGCTGAGATTGCAGATGTGAGACACTATACTCAGCCAAAGTTTGATTTTTATATTTGAGCATAAATCAATCAAGGGTGTGGTAGATCCTGTGAGCAGGAGACAGTGTTGCTTATTGAAAAATAATTTCAAATGCTGAGTAAAGCTTCCATTGAAAGGTTTTTACATTTTGTTGTAATGAGACCATATTTATAGAGTAATAATTTGTAAATTATGCTATAATTTGGTCTATAATTTAGGAGAATCTAGTTCTAGTCAGAAGAGTATAGATCATGTAGATTTGTGAATCAGATATTTTATTGTTTTAATCCTACTGTAGTAAATATATCCTCAATTTCATTTGGCTAGAAGAGGCTTTGATTAGTCATGGAATTTCTTTATAAAAAGTGGAGGAATATAATTTTTCATAAAACACATTCAACTCTCCAGTTGCTACTTAACAAATATACACATCTTTCTTAGAAGCACATACTGTGATGCTAACAGATGGCATGTATCAAGAACCCTAGGTCACTCATTAACTGTGTTAAATTATGTGTGTATGACCTTGAGCATTTTCATTTTATTCTATGATCCCCTTTTCAGTCTTGTTCGTCAGAACAAGCAATGCTCACTTCTACTTTGCTGTGCAAACTTAGTGTTGGTTTTGATAATGATATAAATATTTATATCATCTCAGACTGTTTTTATAGGTCTGTTTTACATTTTCAGAGTCATTATCTTTCTTTAACACAAGCTATGCAGAGTCATTTATAATTTATTGAGTATTGGATGAGATAAGAGTTCACTTACTGAGGTTTATGCCTCAGATCCAAGGAATGTCTCAGTTTTGAGTGCAGTATCCTTCACGGGGAAGACCCTGTGTTCTTAGATTTTTGAATGAAGGTTGTGAAGATGACTAGGTGACATTGGGAAGAAATTCTTAAAGACTTCAATAAATGCACCTAGAATCACAAGGTGCATTGCACACCCCCTGCAAAAGGTGTGGAAAAACTAACAAAATTGTGTCATTGGCCTACAGAAAGCCTTGAAACAATGTAGCTGACAATATGCAATTTCAAGTGATTGATACCCCAAAGAATAACACAAACATAGAAAGAGAAAATTATATAGTCTCTTTTCTAGGAATATTTACATGTTAGTGAAAAAAATAAAACAGAGAAACAATATAATAGGACATTCTATGAAATGGGTATTTTCCATGATGGTGTTTAAAGATTTATTTATTTTTATTTTAGGTGTATTAGTGTTTTGCTCACATGTATGTCTGTGCATGTGAGTTCATGATGCTCACAAAGACCAGAAGAGGGCATCAGATCCCCTGGTCTGGAGTTCAGAGGACTGTGAGTCACACCATGTGGGTGCTGGGAACTAAACCTAGGTCCTCTGCAAGAGTAACCAGTGTTCTTAATTACTGAGCCATCATTCCTGCCTCTTCATAATATTTTTCTTTTTTAAATATGAATTATTATATATGGCATTTTTTACATTATCCTTAGTGGATATTTATTAATTATCATTTAAGAATTTTTAAATAATAACATAGCACACAATTTTACTATGCAATTACTATTTAAATTTCTACACTTCACTGAAATATAGACTTCACTCACATTTAATATATTAATGGAAACTTTTCTACAAAAGTAGATCTTCTCCAGCATGATTTATATGGATGTCCTTAAAATTGTCTGTCGTAACAATGAATGAGAAAGTTTCCCATGAAGGCAACTTTATATATGTTAAATTATTTATCACCACTTGTCTTGTTTTATGGTTATCTTTAGTGACACCAGTGAGCATACTGAAGTTCTCTTGGAGAGACATTAAAAAATTCATTTAGAAGGGTAGTCCATCTGGAGCTGGGCATGGTGATACATTTCTGAAGTTCCAGGGCTCAGGAAGCTATAGTTTGTGAGGAGATGGAGTTAGAGACCAGCAATGGCTACAGAAAGAAAATAAGAAAGTAAAAGAAAGAAAAATACATATTACTATCTGACACTCTACTTATTGTGTTCATGACTTTAATAATGATTAGTAAATAATTTCATGCCTTTTCCCCTTCAGCATGTGGAGAAACCCTACAAGAGTCCAGTGGCAACCTTTCTTCCCCAGGATTCCCAAATGGCTACCCTTCTTATACACACTGCATCTGGAGAGTGTCTGTGACACCAGGAGAAAAGGTAGTTGATACCCTCAGGAGTTTTCCTTGAGTCTCCTCCAAGTAAATCATTTCACAAGGCTTAAACTATGTTTTGCTTATGTTTATTTACCATTATTGCTCATTATTACTTTTTTTTTGCTGTTCTGGAGATCGGACCCAGAGCCTTAACTGTGCTAGGCACACATTTTAGAAATAAGGTGAGGCTTTGGCTTCTTATTGTTTTTGATTTTGAGGTGGGTCTTTGTAAATTGCCCAACCTGTCTTTAAAGTGACTCTGGAGCAAAGGCTCCCTTTAGTTTATAATCTCCCTACCTCAACCAGGCACACGGCTTGAATTACAAAACCAGGCATTATCAGGCCTGGTTTTATTTTTGTTTCATTTTTCAAATATTCAATTAAAATGGAAATAGCTCAAATTTTAAGTTTTTGAAAACCTTAATTTAAAATATTTAGAATGCTTTAGAATTTTTATGAGTCATATAATCAGAATGCAATGAAATTGACTTGAAAACTATGACAATTAAATTCCTGTATTTTACAATAAAAGATTTTAAGTGTACAAATTAGTCAAGAAGAACTTGCAAGAAAAACAAGAAGCTATTTGAAACTACAGTCAATAAAGATCCTGGATAACAAGTGTGGAAAATGAAGCTAAGGAAGTAATTAGCAGGATATTAATAGACTTGAATATTTGCAAGAGGAAATAGAATGGCCATGATACAACCAGCTCAATATCCATAGAAAATGTATAAAAAGGGCAATAGGATAAAATAAAAGTTACTTAGAGAAGGAAAGAAAAGAAACAGAAAAGAATAAAATAAAAATAAAATGGAAGTCTGAAGATAGTTCCAAATAGTAACAGATTGGTTTTTAAAGGAAAGTAGACAGAAAGAGAACAAGAAAAATTGATAATGGAGAAAGGCAACCGGTTGATACTTTTAAAATAGATTATCATAAAAGCATGATTTGGAAGCAAAATGATCATAAATATGTATTTTGAGCATCATCTTCATACCTAAATTGTGTAAAGATGATTATTTTTAATATCTTTTATTGTGTTTTTAAACAAAGAAAACCTCAGGTTCAAATGGCCTTCATCTCTGAGAACCTCCCAGTAGTTATTTTCAGAGGACAGATAAAGAAAATATCCTGTCTACATGGGAGGAAACCCTTTACATCAGTATTAACATGGACAGTGAAGAAAGCAATTCACATTCTCCCAACTCACATGAAACAATGGTGCAAAATTCCCAATGTAGTTACCAAAACAAATTCAGATGCATGTGTGTGTACATATATGTACTTGTGAGTCTATGCAGATACAACCTGTTAGATGTGTATTTAACCCAAGAAATAATTCTATTAATGAATTTAAAACAAGAGCAAATCCCAGTCAGAGAATATACTTTCTAACTGTTATTATAAATTCCATTCTTATTAAGAAAATTAAATAACTATTTCTTTTCAGACAAGTAAAAATGCAAATATAGTTTACTTCCATTTCTTTTAAAATATTGTTCTTGGGAAATTGTAGCCTCCATAATAAGGCAAAAGAATGAAAATAAATATATAAAAATCAAAAATAAAACAATTGTTCTTTGTTATATTAGTTTTGTTAAATTATCAAATTAAAAATATAGGTAAGAAATGGAATCAATGAACCTATTGATTCCTGGATCATGTGTTAAAAAATCTTCATGCATATAATTGTCATAATAATATTAACAAATACATTGATACTAACCTTTAGTTTCTACAAATTATTGTTTGAATTTGACTCTTTAATTTACATGAAATTGCTTAAACATCCCCATTAGCTTTCGTGTAACACTGTTGCATTTTGGCTTTTCCTAGAGATGTCTGGTAATTTTAAGAAATTACATGTATTTGGAGCTGTCCAGGGTCTTGTGATAGTTACAGCAAAAATTCTTTGAAAAAGTACTTAAGGAATTAAAATAATTTTTACTCACAAAAAGTTACTGATTGGTTACATGAATGCACTAAGAGTTCATATAGTTATTTTTCCTCTAAGAATTACATGCTTGTTGTAATAAGGTTATATGTTTTGGTCATTTTCTGTGTAGTTTATTTTAATAAGCCCATTCCATGCTCTAGACATGTTATAACTTTCCATGTTATAAAAAACATTCAATTATTTTCCTTTTGGTTTTTGGGATAATTTTGCCAAATGGCTGAGCTGGTCTTGCATTCATTGTGTCTAACAGGCTAGCCTTGACATCATGGTAACCCTCTTGCTTCTATCTCCCAAATGCTGAAACTATGTCTGAGTCATCAAACTAACTATTGTTTTTTAAAAAAAGATCTTGTAGAATTTGAGAATCTTTGGAAAAAAGTATTAGAATTAATCAAATTACAATAATGAATAACTGGCATTTTCCCTCTCAAATCCTGTTGCAAGGCTTCATAACATTGTTATTCAAAAGTAATTCAATGTTCTAGTATTAATACCAATAAAACTATTTTCCAAAATTTTCAAGAGAAACTAACAAATGCATTTCTAATACTTATTTTTCACTATGCTATTTATATACATTATTATAGTGCATATACCTATATACATTATTATACACATTAAATTTTTACAAGTGGGAAATGAAGAGTATTAATACATTTTCAGACCTTGTATATTATTTTATTATAATTATGATTTTACACTTTTTGAACAAAGTTTATATCAGTCATTTTGAGAATATATTTTTCCAGTACAAACAATGGAGACTGTAGTGTCATTCAAACCTACTTCATCTTATTTCTATATCAAAATTTTTGTCTCATTATTTTTTCAACATAAATTTTTATGCAGCATTTACCTTCTAATTATAAATATGCTTTTAGCATTCTTTTCATATTACTTTCCCATTTATTCCTCCTTGGATGGAATAGTTTCTGGCTGGTGTGACTTTGGGCAAGACCAATATTTTTAAAGAATGATCTCTGCTTTAAAAATATATTCTGTTTGATGATTCATGCAAATTTTTTTATTCATTTGTCTTTTATATTTTATGGCTAACATTCTCTAGTTTTTTTATGCCTATTTGACAATAATGAGTTGTGCCAGTGTTTATCATTGTTTGTAATTGTCTTATGTACTTTAAACTTTTACCTTTTCATTTGCTTCAAGTGAAGTAATTTTAAGTTTTATTTTTAAATATATTTTGGTCATACTACTATACACATATGTGGAATATTGCATGCTTATAAAATTATATCTTTGTGATGGATTTATCTGGTTTTACTATATAGGTGATTTCTATCTTGTTAGGGTTTAGTTTAAAACTGTTTGAAACCAGACATGATAATGCATGCCTTTAATCCCAGCATTAGAAGGCAGAGTACACAGCCAACCTGCTCTATATATTGAGTACCAAGATAGCACAGGTTATAGAAAGAGAGATGTCTCAAAACCCAAATAAAAAGTAAACAAACAAACAAATAAACTAATAGAAATTTAAAACCCTCTGGTCCAAAACTGATACACAGACACTTACTTTTGACTAATTGTTGCTATGCACATGTCTTGCTTTATGTAGTCAGTCAGCTTGTAAAGTCAGCATGATGCCTTTTTTCCTTACCTGCAGTTCTAATTACAGTTATACTTATTGTGATTATTTGATATTATACCTTACCTTCTCATGTGTGTGTTCTCCCATCTAGCTTTTCTTTCTTTTTCCTTCTTATATATGAATGGTATGTCTTTTCTCAATGCTTTGAGTGTCATAAATCCATTTTCTGTTATTTGATACCTTCATTCCACAGGTCTTCATTTCTTTACAAGATTAGATTTCAGTAACATACGCTCTCTTTTCCAGCCTTGACTCTCTCTTTCCAGTTAACTAGGATAATTCTCATTGCATATATTCTGTTTTTAATATTCCCATACCTGTTTTTTCCTAATATTAAAGAAAAAATTCAAAAGGATCAGGCAAGAATTAAAGCAGATCTCTAGAGGTGTTCAAACAAAAATGTTATTAATATGTAATTAAATTTAGAAACAGAAGATCTTGCTATGCAACTCAAATAAATAGGAGGATAGAGTAATTTTCAGGATGAATCACTGAAGGATTTCAAATGTACAGTTTTCTCCAGATTCATGTAAAATTGTAATATAATTCCAAACAAGTTTTCCAATAGATTTTTGTTTGCAAACTGGACCAAGTGTTTTTCCTAAAGTTTAGTTAAAATGTGAAATGTGGTAATAGACAAGGCAACACTGGCAAAGTGTTACTGATGCTGAAGTAAATTTCATGTGAATCTAGTAGACAAACATGAGGAAGCTTCGGGAATCTAGAGTGTGTGGCATTGAAAAATGAGCCCCTGGTATCAATGCACTCACAAAAAGTTCAAAGTTATACCTCATGGCATTGGCTACATATGGTGCATAGAGATTATAAAAAACACGCTTACATAAATTTACATTTTTCAATAATCCTGAAATAATTCATAAGAATACATAAAAGGACTTTATATAGTATCATATATCATTCTAATGAAGAAAATATAATTTTTAAATTAAATGAAAAGTACCAAACACTTGAATTAGAAAATTTTTAAAAAGGGAAAATATATATTTGCACAAGCTTTAAAATACAAATACAAATTAAAGTGGACACTTACAGCCCAGAAGCTCAAGAGAATGCTATTGTTATTCAGACACAAAATATGTTTAAACTCCTCAGTCAAGGTGAACAAAAGCAGGAGAAACCCTTCTGAGTTCCAAGTACAGCTCTCTGTGCACTACCACAAGAAGTCATTGGCTGTCACTCTATAAAGAAGATGCTCTTTGAACCCACAGTGGCATCTTACACATCACCTCTCAACCCATCACAGATAGAAGAGAATGATGTTATCAACTGATTGACAGGTTTCAAATTCTAGGAAGAAGAAAACTGAAGTAATGTCTATGGGGACCTTTGGCAAATTGTACTACATTCTAAAAGATGCAATGCCTCTATTATCAGTAACAACTGTCTTGGGACTTTAATCTCTATGCATTGTGAT